GAAAATCAAGTTCTGAAGAAAATCTTTTAACAGAAGTAATAACTCGATGCTCAGAGTAGGGGATAGATTTGTATGAATATAACATACATTTTTACTATCACTGAAAATAAATATCAAAAGTAGATTGCAAGGAACGGGAAAAGGACATTCCATCTACGAATTCCAAGAGCAAGCGAAATAATGTTCATCTCCATTGGCTACGTCTGTCACTTCGAGTACAGCATTAGAGACAATCGAAAGGACTTTGAGATTACTTGATATATTCCAAAAATTTGTTACACGATTTCTAGCTAGTTCCTAAGAAATTGATTAAATATCTACTAACAAATAGAAACAATGTAAGATAACTATGAGACATTTATGTTCGTTATCTACATAACTATTTGTTACGTAAGTTAAGTTAGCACTAGATTCGAGTATTTCTTGTCCCGATTCGCTTTCTTACCTGTGTTAACTCTCTAAGTGCTTGTGTTGGATGCAGAATTTAATGCTCTATCGAATGGTACTACTTTCAAGGGGGGTCATCGGGGAAAAACCACTAGTTTTACCCGAAATACTGACTTTTCTGCTGTGTACCAATAACAAATATCCTGTATTTCTTGTCCGGATTCGCTCTATGACTTGTGTTGACTTTCTAACAAGGGAGAAACAGCAGAGACTTCAGCCGTGAAGTCTCATGAAGTCTTTCGAAGTCTTCTAGAGTCTCTTGAAGTTTCCGAAGTCTCATAAAGTCTTATGAAGTCTAATGAAGTCTCTTGAAGTCTTATGAAGTTTCATGAATTCTTCTGGAAGTTTTGAAAGACATTTACCCTGGGCAAACAATCAGACACTAAGATCGGACAAGCTTCTGTGTCTGATCATGTACGATCTTGTACGATTGATACCAAATCGTACAAAAAATCTTAGTCTCTGAAATCTTACATCAATTCTTACTGTAAGATTTTAGAAAATCTTATGTGGCGGTAGGATCTGATAGAAATCTTGCAGTAAGAATTGATGTAAGATTTCAGAGACTACGATTTTTTGTACCATTTCATATGATCGTACAAGATCTGCTGTCAGATTTTTTGACCTGGGTAGTGCATGAAAATTCATAAGAAACCAATGAAATTGTCTTATTTTCGACGGTCTTATTTTAGCAGAAAGGGGAACTTCTTATTTTTTTCTCAATGTGCTGGAAAAAAATTCAAGTTTGTTGGATCTTAAAAAACATGATAGCTAATAACTGAATGCTTTTTGAATGAAGTGATTTATTTTTATAAGAAATGTTCCATCTATTCAATGCATAGGCGGCGGAAGCTGGAGGCTGGGTGAGGCATGAGCCTCACCCGAATTTGGCGTCTGGAGGCTCAACCTCACCCAAATTATGTTTTCGGTATTTTTTTGCACGATGGTTTAGACTTATCAAATGAATATTATTTCAGTGCAAAGATTCGAACTTCTAATATATTTATTTATATGTCGTGATAAAGAAAACTAAGACATTCAGATAATAATAAACCCACTATGTCCTTATGGTTCATAGCGACACATTTTATCTCATTTACGTAAAGTCGTGTGTAGTAGACAAATTGTAGAATTATTCGATCAAAAGGCATCAAAACTAGCTATATTAGAGTGTATTCTTATTCTTTTTAATTGATTCAGTGAAATTCATCCATAGTAATTGTTTAAAATGTCAGTGAATATATCAACTAAAATGCAGTATAAAATGAGTTTATTTGTGTACTTATCTAAATCTCTAGCTTTCATATGTTTTGAATGCCATAAAGTCATGATTTAACTAGTGCGTTAGAAGATTATCATATTAGTCTTGCTAAGAGAAATGTGATTTCATGTTGTTACATAGTGCTTCACTTCTCTTCTTATCAATCCACCTATTATACACATATGTTCTTGTTCTTTTCTTTTTCTGTTCAGCTGTTGTTTGTATGTTCTTTTTCATCTTACCTCCTTTTCTTAACTGACGTCTTCCTTGAGTAAGAACTATTGTCTTGATTCTTTCTATTGTTCATTATCCAAACAGACGGAATAAGCTTCTCGAATTCTTCTCCAGTCTGTCTATTGTCTCTTCTCATGTGTATATATACTTGCTGTTTTCTTCAATAAAGGGATCAGATATTCATTCATCTAAAAGGTGTTATATATGTAACTCATGTTTATATGAATATTAAACAGGTAAACAGTACTTTCTTTTGATCATAGTCATAAAATTAATAGTTTAGATTATAAACAGTAATGGCATCAAAACGATGTGCTGGATCAATTTTGGAATATTTTACTAAAAAAGTAAAAAGTACAACAACATCTGTATCTACAGAAGGAATTGGTATAACTGATCTTTCAACAAATTCTGGAGACGAAGCTCTTGAAGCACCTTTTGTGACTCAAACTACTCCTCTTGTTAATCCATTACATTTGTCTAATGCGAATAATTTATTGGAAAATAATGATGAATCTGAAAACCGACCTGAAATTTTTGATAATTCTGATAAATCACCAAATGAAAATAACCAAACAACATCAACACAAACAACAAATTTATCTACATCTAACCTATCTACTCAAAGCGTAATTCTTATGTCTAAATGTGATTTATACTGCTGCAATTCGTCTACACCATATCATCCTGTTAGAAATGATGAATTAGTTTTAACAACAATTGATAAACGATCATGTCAAAAACAATGGTTTTGGGATCATACTTGGTTAACATTCTGCAAAGTGAGTTTTCGTGTAAAACAAATACAATCAAAATCAAAATTTATTTATAAAATATAATTTTTTTTTATTTGAGGTTAAAAAAAAAGTTTTTTGTTATCCATGTCGAGTTGCATTTGAACGTGAAATTCATCCAAATACAACATTACATCCTACTTATAGAAGTTTTGTAACAGAAGGTTTTTGTGACTGGAAGAATGCCAGGTCAAGATTTAAACTTCATGAGTCAACTAAAATGCATGCTACTTCAATTTATGTTGTTGATCAACAAACAAAACCCACTATAACAGCTCAATTAATATCAGCAACCAAAAGACAACAAGAACAACGTCGAAAAGCTCTTTCAATACAAATTTCATGTATTGTATATTTACTCCGACAAGGTCTTGCACTTAGAGGGCATTCTGATATCGAAAGCAATTTGATTCAACTGTTAAAACTTCGAAGTATTGATAATGATTTTTTAACAGAATGGATCAACGACAAGAAATATTTATCCCATGATATAATCAATGAACTTTGTAAAGAAATTTATTTACTCATTATTCGAGATATTGTAAAAGAAGTACGTATAGCTTTGTTTGATTGAGAAAACTACCTAGAACTATCGTGTAGCGTCTAACGAATCATCTTTCCAGAACATACCAGATTTTTTTTCTTAAAGAATGAAACAGGAAACTGGTTTCTCCTAAGATTTTCTTTGCAGATTTACAGTAATTTTTGTTACTTTAATAACTAATAATATGGAATGAAGCACTAACATTGTGCAATAAAATTTATCTATTACATTCGATAAAAAATGATTATGTTATCTATAAATTCTAAAAAATGAAAAAAAAAGTTGAAATGTCTCTAGATTTCTGCTCTGAATTGCTATGGCATTGTTTTTTGAGTGTCATATGAAGTTAAAAATACTTTTGTTATTCTATTCAGATTTCCAACAGAAAATGGTTTTCCTTAATATGCGATGAAACATGTGATGAATCAACACTTGAACAATTATGTATTGGTATTCGATCTGTAGATGATAATTATGAAATATTTGAAGATATTCTTGGACTTTATGAATTATCTCGACAAGATGCTCCAACAATTGTTGAAGCAATTCGTGATGTATTAACCCGGTGTGGTTTAAATGTTCTCGATTGTCGTGGTCAAGGCTACGACAGTGCGTCGAATATGTCCGGAATTTATGGTGGTGTATCGGCTTTAATTTTGAATCAACAGCCAAAAGCTATGTATGTGCATTGTATAGCTCATTGTTTAGATTTAGCTGTACATGATTTAACTAATCAGTGTGCTACAATTAGTACTTGTATATCATTTGTGAAAGAAATAATTGATTTTGTTCGTCGATCACCAAAACGTCTTGCTATTTTAAAAGAAATATTCAATCAATTATCGATGTCTTATTCAAATCTGACGCCCTTATGTCCAATGCGATGGACTATGCGTGCTGAATCATATAATTCATTATTAAAAAATTATGAACCCGGTAATATAGCATTTCATTATATATAATTTATTCATTTTTCTTCTGATATATTATTCAAAAATCCAAATATTTATATTATCTTTCAGTTCAAGAAGCTTTATATTCACTTGCTGAAGAAAAAGGTGGTCCTGGTATAAAAGCTAACGGTCTTTATGGCCAAATGAATAATTTTAATTTCTTTTTTGGATTAAAATTGGGCCACTTAATATTTTCAGCTACAGAAAAACTTTCACGTACAATACAAGGTGTAAATTGTTGTTTACAATATGTTCTTTGTGCAGCTGAATCTGTTATTCATCATTTTCAACGTATTCGAGGTAAAAGACTTTTAGAAAAGTGGAGGTGCATTTATTTTGCTTAATTTGTTTCCTTTTTTTCAGATGATAATAGTTTTAAATCGTTTTATAGTGGTGTAGTCAAAGACAGTGAAGATTTAACAGATAAACCTATTCTACCACGACATCGAAGACCACCAAAACGTTATGATTCAAATCCAGCTGTTGCAAAATTTTCTAGTTGTGAAGAATTTTATCGCCAACAATATATTGAAGCACTTGAAATTGTTGTTAATATGTTAAAAAACCGATTTACTTAAAAGAACTTTAAATTATTATGTAATGTTGAGAAATTTATTATTCATGTAGCAAATAATTCACTTGATGATCCAAATGATTGTGTGCAATCAATTAAGGATTTTTGTTATAATGATATCGATGTTGAAAGATTGAAATGCGAAGCAATTATGATTTTTGATTTTTTTCAATCGGTAATTAAAACAAATCAGATGAACATAAAACAAATCACAAAAATTTCAACAATTTGTGAAATTTTAAATACATGTGAAATAGGTAAACAAATGTTTAAAGAATATCATAAATTAATCAAACTGTATTTAACCATTCCGGTTACAACGGCCACGGCCGAACGTACATTCAGTACATTAAATAGATTAAAAAATGCAATTCGTTCTTCAATGACTCAATCACGTCTCAATCATTGTTTATTACCACATATTTATAAAGAAAAACTTGATGAAATTGATGTAAATGAAATAATGTCCAAATTTATATCATCAAATGAAAAAAGACAAACTTTTTTTGGTTCAATGCTCTAGTGTAAAATAAATGGTCCTCATATTTTTTGAAATTTTCGTCTTTCTATAAAGATTTAGAAATCTTGTTAGTCAAGAATGAAATAAGTTAGCGCATTAATTTTCTGATAGCAAAAAATTTATATAATCTAAAAGCGGCTTATCACCTAAAATTCACTCACATTGTCTGATGCTAATATGTAAAAAGCTATTTTTGAGCCTCACCTGATTTCAACACGTTCCGCCGCCCCTGATTCAATGTCAATCTTATGAAGAATTTTATTCCTTTTTGTTTGTTGCTATCACTCATGATAATCTATCAGCCAATAAACGGCTAGCTTTGTCGGTCAATAACCAACAAGCAGTTTGCTTGTGTATAAATTTAGTCTTGTTATTTATTTGCACCTGAAAATAAGAGTTTTTCAATGCTGGATTAATCGAATCAACTATACGCGTACCAGTAAAGTTTATTGTCTCAGTTTTAATTTCATCAACGCTTTGTATCATTGTCACATCTTTATTCTAGATATAGATATACTGCGAGAAACAATTCTCAGAACAAGAAACATTTTTGTAATCTCTATATGATAACTTTTGTATTTTGTATGTTATAGAAGTTTCATGTAATTTCTATAAGGTCTTTTGATACTCATAGAATCTGCATCTTGAAGTCTTGTGAAGTCCTATGAAGTTTTGTGAAGTCTAGCGAAGTCTTGTGAAGTTTCATGAAGTCTTGTGAAGTCATACGAAGTTTGTGAAGTCTGACAAAGTCTTGTGAAGTTTTATGAAGTCTTGTGAAGTCTGATGAAGTCTTATAAAGTCTCAAGAAGCCCTACAAAGTCTGTGAAGTCTCTCAAAATCCGTGAAGTCTCATGAAGCTCGTGAAGTCTCACGGAGTCTGTGAAGTCTCATGAAGTCTTTGGAAGTCTTTTGAAGCCTTGTGAAAATATGAAGTCAGTATGGTTGGAAGTCCGTTGAAGTCTTGAAGTCCGCTGTTTCCCCCTTGGGATACCCTTAGGTCCTTATCTCCTATATTATGGGGATACCGTGAGGTCCTCAAGTGCTATATTAGGAGGGTACCCTCAGGTCCTCATTTCCTATATTATGGGGATACCCTAGGGTCCTCAAATCTTATATAATAGGGGTACCCTTGGGCCCTCAGGTCCTATATTACAGGAGTACCCTGAGGTCTCCATCTCCTCTATTATAGGGGTACCCTTGAGTCCTCATCTCCTATTATATGAGGGTACCCTTGGGTCCTCAAGTCCGATATTATAGGGGTATCCAAGGGTCCTCAAGTC